TTTGAGCAACACAAGCTTTTAAAACGTACTTTTAAGTGTATTTTTTTCAAAAGCGCTTTTCAAAAAAGTGCTTTCGGAGAGAAGCTACTTTTTTCTGCTTTTCCAAAACAGCTTCTGCTTCTACTCAAAAACACTTTTTTTCCTTCAAAAAGCTTGGCCACACACCTTAATTTTGACAAAAAAACACTTGAGACTAAAAAAAGCACTTTTGGCCAAAAAATAAGCTTGGCCAAACAGGCTATAAGTGTCCCAATTCATTCCGAAACATCCCTGGAACCAAACCAACCACCCCGGCAAGTCACATAACAACAAACGAACATAAAATAAGCAATAAATGGTGGAACGGGGCTACAATACTCAAAACGACCGGCCGGGTCGTTACACATACTATTACGTGTGAGTTATATACTAACTGATAATTTTAGTCACAGTCTCATTATATGATTTTGTTCCAAGGCTATGGAATCTGTTGGCTATCTGTTTCTTGTTGCAGCTTAACACTTGATTTCTTGATCTCCTTGTGTAAATGTGAATCTCGGCTGTCTGAAACAGCTTCGCTTGATAATTTTAATAATATCCCATATCTTTGTTTGCATAATACCTTTTACATCTTCTATAACAGATACTTGCCCTTTTACTGGCAATTAAATCACCACTGCTCCAGTGTTAGATGTCTTTACAATTTGTTTCATCTCACTACTTATTCTTGCCGACTAGCTGATACCATTCTTGTATTAACTTTATCCTCTAGGTCTGTGTAACCCTGAGAAGAAAATGTTGGAACTTCATGCAAAAGACATGTGCTCAAAGAGTCCCACTCTGCCATCAGATGAGGATGATTAGAGCTCATTGCCGTCAAACACAGTAGGCTGGCAGATTGTTTACAGATTGATTCATTCCTTTTGGTTAATGGGCTCAGTCAATGTTGCTGCTGGAAGTTGTTTCCGCTAAAAGTCATGCCCATTTTGTAAGTTACCTGTATTTTTTCCAGTTGTCGCATTTAGAGATCAAATTTTTGTAGCAATAGGAGATTTATGGGAGATTATGGGGGACTATGGGGGTAGTTTGTAGGAGCAAGAGATTACCTTAGTCCTCCTGTTAATAGAGTGGCTGTAAGTGTAAGGTGACCGCTTGGAATTTAAACACGGGGTCAGTTACTTGACATTCTGTGCAAATAGTGTACTCTGTTGATTACATTACACAGTTGTTATTTTGAGGTCCTAGAACAGTTCGATACACTGTGGAGGAAAAGATGGTCATAACAATCTATGAACAATTCAAGATTTTTTAGAATTCACAAGTACATTATGGTATGATGATTCTTAAGTAAAACAACTCATGGAAAGAAATGTTCTTTTCCCTGTACATTGCAGGTAGTTATTATTTAAGTTGTTGGTACTTGAAGAAAAAAGGGACTTTCTTACTAACTACTAAGTGAGAACCGAAAGCCTCTTTTGGGATTTCTTCGTAAAAATGGCGATCGCCAATTTTCGGCCATTTTTGGACCGCTTGTTAGTATTTATCTACCGTTTGAAATGTAAATTATCTTTTAATGTGAAAATAAAATTTGGACAAAAATATTTCTAGTTAAAATACGAAAAAAAATTTGTACAATGTGTTGGAGTTCGAAATTTTTACAAGTGAAATTTTAGCACTTTGTGCAAGAATGTAAAAAAATATTTGGAGTTTAAATGTGCAGTTCGAACTCCGGAATTTTCATGTTTTAGCTAGTCCCTTGATGAGCCATACAAATGTCTATGGCATATTATGAACTTCAAAAGTCTTCTTTTCTTCTGTAAATTTCGTGCAAATCAAATGATGCCGCATAAATTTGGACGTAGGGTAGTATTATTAAATTGACTGCTCAATTTGAACAATCTCGTATACCTGTGGCAAGAGCTACATTTTGCAAACGCCGGGATTGAACAAGTTCAATTAGATATTGGCTCTATCCCTCCAAAGTTCAAACACGTTGCCTCTCCTATCCTGTTATCTATCCTATGAACCAAAATATACATGTTTCATATTATACAATCAAATTTCTTTGATCAAAGAATTTAAGATGTTAATTTAAGATATTATAGATAAGATTTTAAAAACTTAATTTGATAGACTAAATATCATGTTGAAGCTTAGAATTGAATAGCTATATTAATTCGAACTCTTGTAAAGAATGAAAGTGATATAGTATGATATTAATCTTATTAGTTAATACTCATAGTATCAAACAATTTGATATGTTTCAAAATGAAAATTAGGTGAGAGTACATGATTACTTCTCACCATGCTACTACGATGATAATTGCAATCCATAATTGTCATTATAAAAATTAAAATTTTAGTAATGAATATTATGGATTTTAATTTAAATAATTAATATTACGAATTAGCTGCGGAAGATGTGGGGGGAGGGGGGGGAATTAATAGCCTGTTTGGCCAAGCTTCTTTCAAAGCCAAAAGTGTTTTTTTCTCAATAAACTCTGTTTTTCTTAACTTAAGGTGTTTGACCATGCTTTTTTTTAGAAATAAGTAGCTTCTCCCTAAAAGTAGAAACAGTTTTAAATTTTCTTCCTGCCAAAAATACCCTTAGCAAAATATTGTATATACCAAAATAATCAAACTTAGTTTAGACCATTAAGTAATATATAATGACTTTTGGGGGGTGAACTTTCATATTTGTTGAATGATTTTTTGATATATTTAAATCATCTTGAAAGAATAAAGTATTGTTTAATTTTATTTAAATAAAATAAAAAACTTAATTATTGTCTTTAATTACAAATATTTGTGATTATTTATTTACTTATATAATACTCCCTCTGGTCCACTTTAAGTGATTTTTTGGCCTTTTTTTGTGGTCCGTAATAAATATCAAGAAAGAATTAACTTCTTTTTTTCAAAGTTGGCCTCGGAGTAAAGAGCCTATGAGTATTTATTGTATTTTAAACAAAAACAACAACAACAACAACAACAACAACAACAACAACAACAACAACAACCCAGTGTAATCTCGCAAGTAGAATTTGGGTTGGGTAGGATGTACGCAGCCTTATCCCTACCCTAGAAGGACAGAAAGACTGTTTCCAATAGACCCTCGGCTAAAGAAAGGAATTTGTTGTATTTCCAATGAACAAAGTAAGGTTAACATGGTCAATTACATTGTTAATTGATGCTAAAAGATGGATTCCTTAATATGTATGAAAATAGCCAAAAAATCACTTAAAGTAGACCGGAGGGAGTATTCTATTAAGTACATCTCTTCATGTTCTTATTCGTAATTTAATACTTAAAAACACTTTGAAAAGCTTGGCCAAAACATACATTGTTGTTCAAAAGCACTTTTTAAATTAAATAGCCAAACACAAACTGCTTTTATCCAAAGTACTTTTTCGAAAAACACTTTTAAAAATAACACTTTTCAAAATAAATTGATTTTCCCAGCTTGCCAAACAGGCTATGATTAGTCGAGTAATTGTGATGCATTATTAACCTTGCAGTTGCTTGTAGCCAGGGATGGCAATGGGGCAGTGCGGGTGTGGGGCGGTGCGGGTTTGAGATCATGCGGTGTGGGACGGGTGCGGGGCGGGTTTGAACATTCTTTTAAAAACTAAAAGCGGTTGCGGGTTGATAATCATGTGAGGCAGGTTCGTAAGTTTCAAGCAAACTTTTCACTCACTGTACATACTGTTGGAGCATTTCTTCTTATAGTTTTTCCTAAAAAGAGATTTTGTATGTATAATATTTTAAGGTTGTGGTTATTATTAACTGGAAAAATCTGATTTTCCCTTTTTGTCTTTTTGAAATAAATTTGCTCATGTTAAATAAAATAATAATGACAAGAAACAAAGTTAATCCAGTAGCCAACCTGGAAGTATGAATTTATTTAAGACTAAATAATAATAATATATAATTAACAGAACTAAAAGAAAATTTCAACGAACATTTAACAAATGAAAAGATTTACTAACTGACTTAAATAAACAAACTTCAGTAAATTAAAGGTACAGAGAACAAAAACTTTCAAACGAACTTGCTCACAAAGAGCGTATAGAAGAAAACGGAAGTTTTT